CTGTTCTGACAGAATACTTCCTTGGAGAGTTTCCAACCAGCTGTAACACTAACACCGCTGGAAAGTCTGCAGGCCTTTCTGCTTGGCTGGAAACGCCAGTTCTGTGGAAATCAAGGGCAGATGTTACCCAGTGTGATATCCATTCCCAAATCAAAGTAAGTCCAACAGCCTGGGAGACCATGCCGAACCCATGGGATTGCAACCTTCACTAACACGGACGCACCTCATACTCCTTGCTCCCAGGCAAATCTTCCTGGCCAAACGAGTTACACTGGTATTTATTTTCCAATACCTTTTTCCATTTTCTGGCACTCACTACACTGGAGAGATAACCTGTGAACAAGCATGGCTCGGTTCCCCACCGAACTGGAGCAGCTCCCAGGATGGAGAGAGGTACGGAGCTGGTGATGGAGCTCCACGCAGAGGTCAGCACCTCTGAAAAGTGCAATGGCAGCAGAGCTGTGACCCAGAGGTGTTGAGCCCAGGATTGTGACCGAGGGGCCATGTTGCTGGGGTTGCTGAGTCCCTCTGCCATTATCGGTGCCCAGCCCCAGGGTGAATGCAGCAGAGACAAAGGTGGTCCCCTCGAGGTGCTCAGAGACCCCTGTGTCAAAGCGTTGGGTGATGTGGTTGAGGCAAGGACACCTTCCACCAGACCAGGTTCCTCACAGCCCCATCCAGCCTCACCTTGAACACTTCCAGGGATGGGGCATCCACAGCTTCTCTGGGCAACCTCTGCCAGTGCCTCACCAGTTCCTGCAGATCTGAGAGGAATGTGGACGCTGCTGTTGGGGTTCATCTGCCCAAGCAGAGGTACAAGCAAAACACAGGTGCCAACATCTGGTTTACTCTTCCCAGGATCTCTGTACTGCTAGTGGAGGAAAATGGCCAGGTTCAGGGAGTGCTTGTTCCCCTTCTAGAGAATTTGTAATTAAACTGGTCAAGGGAATGGCATCGCACAAAAGGGACCTTCTGTGAAGAATCACCCTGCTGTGATGTGATTTTTCTGTATCAAAACCGGCCGTCGTGCTGCACCCCAAGTACATCTCACCGCACCTCACCCTGCCTCTCTCTCTCTTCTGGCACACACAGAGCCAAATTCGCTGCCTGCAACCCCTCAGCTTTTACCTACGTATTCTGCAGCTTAGTGAATTGACTTTTTTTAAGTGCTTTGCGAGAGGAAAGGTGTTTTAAAAGCACAAAAGGCCCATTAATATCAGATGTCAAGCTGTAACAAAGACCAACTGTGCCACTGATGCTTTCTTGATTAGTCAGGGCACCCCAGGTTGCATTATCTCATTTGCAACTGTGACAGGAAAGTTATACCAGCCCCTCTTCGGAAAAGTAACTTTTATTGTGTTGAAGCCATATGTTTCCAAGGATAGAGTAAAGCTCAAAAGCCATAAATCATGCCCAGATAAGAATAATCTCAAACAATAGTTAGTTTGCAGCAGGATGTTGCTTGTTCTGTGATAATTGCTCAGCGTTTGAGGCAGATTTCCAATCGCCTGCTCGGACACGCAGCACAGAAGAAAAATGCCCAAAACCAGTTGCCGTTCTTAGCGTTTGAAATCTGAGCACGTTAAGACAATTTTAACAACGCTGCTCCACACCTACCCAAATCCTACAGTGCTGCAGCCCCTTAGATTTAAAGGACTGCCCACCTGCGAGCAGAAGACACGGCTGCAGCACGGAGACCGGCTGGCCCGACATGAGTTAGGCTGGGTAGCAATGGGGATGGAGATGTGGCATCGCAGACCTGCAGAGGTGCCTCAGCTTTGTTGACTCTCACCACATGAGCTCCCACGTCACTGCGACCGGAGAGGGGTGCACTGGAGATGCTGGTGGAGCTGGGATGCGGGAGCTGCTAGGTGAAGGTGTGGGGAAGCTGCTGTGGGTGCAGGACCCCCAAGAAGTGCATCGCTGGCCGCTGCGCAGCACCGCACAGCTGAGATGGGTCAGAGATAAGGCCACGCAGAAAGCATGAGACAGGCA